GCAAGCTTGATCAGCTTCTGGCCATCCTCCAAGCTGATCCCGACAATGGCCGAATACGGACCCTTATCACTCACCGCCGCGCCCAGGGTGCCCGCCATGGAACCGGCAACGTTGTTATAGACAATCGACGCCGCGGCCTTGGCTTTGGCCGCGAGAACCGACTTGTCGCCGAACGGGCACTCCCCACGCTTGATGAGGGCGACCTTGCCGGCGACATCGGATGGGTAATCGGCCTCGGTACATCCCAGGTTCTTGACGACGGCCACATCAGCGGTAACCTCGACGCTGGGACTGTAGGTCATGGTATTCGCCTCGATCTCCTCGTCGCCGACCTTGAGCGTCTGGTCGGCATTGCTCCACAGGTGGACCTGGGGCTGCTTGTAGACATCGTAGTAGCCCGTCTTCTTCAGCTCCTTGTAGAGGTAGTTGACGGTGTCGTCGTGGGCTTTACCACCAAAGACGCGATTGCGCTCGGGGTAGGCATAGGCAAAGTCCTCGAGTTTCTGGGAACCCTCCAGCAGGTCTTTCAATTTAACATCCTCAGGAAACGTATCCTATGAACCATTAATTACGACCAACATACAACAATCAACCACCAAAAAAGCAAACAAAAAACCAGAGAGGAAAAGAGTAGAAAGAGAGAAGGAAAGAAAACCCACCGGCGAAACAAGGGCCCTCCCAGCCAGCGCCCCCGAAAGCAAGGAAGCGCACAAAAGCGACCTCATAACGATAAGGTAGGGCAAATAAAAATAACTGAAGCTAAAAACCAATCCCAAATCCAAGGAATGATTGAATCCGCAACCCTAATGGAAAAAGGAAAGCAATTCCCCCGGGTCCCCAGTCTACTTTAAATATCTTTTCCAGCAGCACCCCCCCCAATCGCGACTGCCCTTTTAATTTCCCCCCCCTCTTGTCAATCTCTCCCCCGTCAATGCGACTCCAAGTCTCTCAACGCCATCCGGCGACAAAAGCACGCATCGCATCGTGAGGGGTCAAGCGGCCAAGACCTTGGCAGAGATAAGAGTCGGACAGGAACGAGCCAAGTTGAGGGGCATGCCGACGGTCCACGCCGGAGGAGAAGACTTGGGTTGCACTGGCCAAGCCGTGGCATGGTTGAAATGAGTACGAGGGGGTTTCGCCGGGAAAGTTGAATCTTTTGATTGCTCGGCTTGGCTGAACGGCTATCCTTGCTTTTTTGAGATTGGCATCGGCGGGTGCCAGCCGTTTTATTGGTTTCTGGGGGGAATGAGGCGAGGAGGTCGCCTCCCACTAGTACAGGTTTGTGGTTTTTGTTTCCTTGTCTTTGTCGGCGTGCTGGGGTTTCCTTTTGGGTTTAGGTTAGGGTTGTGGGGGAGGTTGAATGTATGTAAGATGGATGCATGGATGTAGTAGTAGTGGCGAGGGTCTGGGCGGGTCTTTTTTTTCTTCGGGTTCATTTATTTTTATCAAACTGTACATATTGAGGAGGGTAGAGATGGGCAAATGAGGAATGCTTCAACCCATCCCGGCTGCATATGTCCAGGGTTACTCAACTTCCTCTCCTTGTCGGTATCTACAGCATCACCCGGTACTGAGACATCACACCCACCAGCTGGCAATATCCTTTTTAACCAATAAACAAGACAACATTTCAAAACACACAATCCAATCTAGGAGTAAGATATCTATCGAACCAGAACCCCACACACCAGCTTTCTCCAAACTTTCAATCCACATCCACGAACCCGAAAAAAGCAGATGTCGTCGCAAGAGACTTAAGCATGCATCACCCTAGCAAGGATCGCCAGATCTAACAGAAAGAGTCTATTCATCTCCAAGGGTCCTCGCTGATCGGCAGGGGAACCTGGTTCGCCAAGATATGAAGGTATATTGAGGCATAGTGTTTATTATCTACAAACTAGGTTTGGAGTGTGTTCTGTTTTTTGTGGTGAAATGGTGTTTTCATTTACTGAGTAGATCTCATTATTTCTCGGTGTACTCCGTAAAGGAGGGTAGATTGCCATGATATGCAGTTCGAATCAAAGAATGAACATCAGATCATGTCCCTGATCTAAACCACGGACATAAACCCCCCGAAAGAAAAACAGCCCCCCCCAGTTGGACATCACCCCATCAATGCGCAAACCGGAAATCCAGCCTCTTACTCCCCGTATCAGTCGTATTATTCAAATAATCCTGTCGTTGCTATACCACCATCAGTAACAGTTCCACAACCAAAAAAAAGAAATGCAGAAAGAGTCTCACCTCCTCTGTCATACTATTCCACACCCTTTCCCGGTACCGATTCCTCAACACATAGTACACCTTGGTCGCGATGAAAAGCAGAATGCCCAGGAGATTCAGGGCCAAGAGGATGGCGTTACCCCGGCGGTACTTCGGCTTGTCGTCTGCTCGGTAGACGTTGTTGCCGATGATGTTGCCTAGTTGGACGCACACTTTTTGTGTCTCAATTAGTATCGATGCCATATATGTATTTCGTCTGGGAGAGGGTAAGAGAAAGGTCAGGGGGGGAAGGAAACTCACTATTATATAGTGCTGCCGAAACAGTCCTGGTGCCGACGTTGTTGGAATTCTTCGACGCCCAGCCTACAACGATCGCATGGCAATAAGGGTAAGAAAGCAATACCGTGACAACGGCATACGTGCCCCATGCGTTCTCCATGGTCCCGGGCCAGAAGCGCAAAGCCACGATGCAGGGTAGCGTCCACACCAATTGGAGCATGGAGGTAAGGGAGCGCTCGTTGAGATAGCCGCTGAGTCTAGTCAGGGCGAGCAGCAGGATGATGTGGCCTACGCTATTGGGGATCGTGAGGAGGTTTGTTACGAACTATTTCACCTGTGTTAGGTTTAACTTCGATGGGTATAGGCAGGGGACGCACGGTGTTAAACCCGAGATCCTTTAGGGTCAGAGTGATGTAGGACTTCACGGGTACCATCGGGGTATAGGCGATCAGGCCGATGAGGTAGATGGGCCAGAGATCGTAGTCACAAAGGGCATTCCAGAGGCGGCGGGGAGTGATTGCTTGGCGGTTGTGCATGTCTCCTGTTCCCACTGTGAGTTGTGGGCTAGGGTTTGCGTGTAAGGGGGTTACCTTTTGAGGGGTCGTCTCGAAGGACGCGGTTGACGACGATGCGCACTTCGCGGTCGGTGAACCAGCCCTTTGGACGGAACCATTTCTTCGTCTCGACTGCTGAGGCGGGCATTCGGAAGAACGAGGCCAGTCCGATGAGGAGGGTTATCAGGCCTTCGATTAGGAAAAGCCATCTAAATAGGTTAGTATCCGTTTGTCGGTGCAGGGAACGGTACTGACCTCCATCCAGCCCATCCAAGTACGCCGCGCATGTGGAGGATGCCGAATGCCATGAATGATGTGACGATCGTTGTCACGGACAGGGCGGTCCAGAAAATACTATCTCTCATTAGACACTCAATCTAAAACTGGCAAAGAGAGCTGTACCTGAGCCGAGTCGGGAGTTCTTTGCTCGTATAGAAGTACGACAACCAGAGGACGATATCCGGGATGAATCCACCCTGTAGTCGTGTGAGCTTAAACACTTCATATGGCAGTGAAACATACCTCTAGAATCCCTAGGAGTGCCCGCGTCGCATAGAATGAAGACCTCCCCGTCAGACCAGCTTGACAGGTGGCTACTATAGACCACAGGGAAATCTGCATAGGAATCCATCGATCGGGGCCGATCTTCTTAGATACCAACTGAGAGGGCAGCTCAGCTAGGAGGAATGAGATATAGAATATAGTATTCCCCGTGTTATAGTCTGCATATTGCTTCAATTAGACGGCGGTCTCTTCATAATTCCACGGAAAAACATACCATTCGAAGAAAGATTGAGATCATCCAGCAGATTATCGGACACAGCCTGAACCAAATTCCCGCGGTCGACCTGCAACCCGAAAAACATCACACACTATACCAACCATCAGTCATAATGAAACAGCCAAAACATGTGAAAGACCTACAGCCCACAGACAAACCCTCCAATCCAACTTGCGCACCAGCGCCCTCTCCTCCTCCGGAGTCCAAGTCAACGTCGGATCAAACACATGTCGACATTCATACTGCGCCTTCTCATAGATCAACGCATATCGCTCCGCGACCTCCGGATCAGCGAAGGGATTATTCGCCTGAGGATCCGTGGACTCCTCATACGGCTGTGTCTCCACCTGATAGGTACCCTTGGGATCGGTCGCTGGTTCGGTGTAGTAGTGCCCGCTGTGATCGTCGACCAGCTTCTGGGTGACTCCCTTGTTGGTGGCCATGGTAGGACTCAAGCTCTCAAAGCATGTTCTAGGCATTCTTGTCGTTCTGGGCAGCCGAGCACATTGTTATATGTGGAGTGGGAGACTGGGGAACCATGTCTTGGGGTTTGGCACGCCATATGCCGGTACTGTTGCGTGTAGATAAGATCTGCTGCCGGTTGATTTTATTTTTCTTGTTTCGTGGCCAGTTATCGTTCAGTTTGGAAATATACTAGTTTGTGCCAAGAGGTTTATGCATGTCTTGATAGGATGGTAAGGTGGTTTTGTTGTAGGTATCCGCGATGATTAAGGTGCAGTTTCGTTTGCTGGTCAGTAATTAGTTGGTATTATTTGACAAATGAGTCTATCATGGTTACGGTTAGGTTCAGAATTAACAAAACCAATTATTTTCCTCCAAGGAGAGGATATTCAGATTGTTGATCAAGTGCCGGAATGGCATCATCGTCCCTCAGGATTTGATCAACTTGGCGTGGGCTTGCGTGACCTTTTTGCACGTTGGCGACATTGGAGTGTCAGAACTCTGATTTGAATGTCATATTTCAGTTTTCCAAGTCAATTTTGTAATAATAATGCATTGTCTCATCAGGTATCGTGCTATTGTACAAACCACGGATATGTGGAAAAACTGCGACGAAGATAAGCTTCAAGCACAAGTATTGGCAACGAAAAAGATTCTAGCCCGAACGCCCTCGCTTTCGCTCACTAGAACTAACAGACATATTAAAGAGCATAACCTCCAAACTCCCGCTTAAGAACACTAATAAAACCAAATAAAAGAAACCATCGAAGAGCCGCCTAGTAATTATCGCATGTGCACTTGGAATAGATACTTCTGGCGGATCTGAGCGACGTCGTACACAATGTATTCGTTGTACATCAGTGACTGGGCGTTGGCGCTCTTCGATGAGGCAGAGACATCCGGCATTCTCACCCCTTGCAGCTGCGAATTGACACTCCCAGCATCCTTCCAAGCTGCCGGGACAGTTCTACCCTTACCGAGAGTCGCAATCTTGCCGCCCTTTTTGGCATCTTCCCCAGCATTGTAGTTGCTGTGGTCCAATTCAAGCATGGGGTCTCCGAGTTCAACATCGCAAAGCAGAAGTAAAGCCATACCACCGCTGTTGTAGGAGCAGCAGTAGTTGGCGGATTTGCTGGACATGTCCGCGAAGTAGACACCTTTGCCAAACATGTATCCGCTCACAGGGGCTTCTGGCGGCGCAATGCGCAGACCTTGGCTCAAGATACCACCGAAATTAGTGCTACGGGATCCATGCCACAAGAGACGGCGGTCGCTGTTCTTGATTTTCCCATATTGGGAAGAATGGAATCGATCATTTTCACCATCACGCTCAATGCGGAAAATATTGACGACCTACATCTAGTCAGTACTGTAGCATCGTGACAAAAAAGGCCAAACTCACGTTATAGCGGAAATGATGAGTAGAGGCGCGCGACTGGTTGAGGTAATTCTCCAGCTCAATGAATTCAGTAGAAGAGTGGTCCACTGTTGCGCATTAGTAAAGGTTTGGCCATATTCTAGGGAACTCGTCTAGGCAGATGAGTGAAGGAGGGACATACAAGGAGTCATCTCTTGCAATTTTAAGCTCTGGAACTGACGGTCCAACTGGTGGATCGTGTCGGCATCCTTCGACTCTTTCATGATACCGTTTGCAACTTCCATATCTGTCAAGGCCTCAAGAAGCTCAATCTCCTTTTTAATATGCTGGTCGGAATTCAACACGGGAGGTCGGTTACGACCGAACACGTGAGGGATAGTAGTAAAGTATTGGTTGCTGAGGTCCTCCGCAGCTGCATTGAAGGATGTGCCATATTCAGTGGCTGCCAGATTGGGATCCGCGATGAGCTCGGAGAGTTCCTTCAGCTTCAAGAAACCCCGCCTCAGAGTTCCCTTACTCAGCTTTCCAAGTGGCAACTTCTTAGCGTCGTAGTCCATAGAAGCCATTGTATTCATGAAATGGTTCGGATTGAAAATGAAAGACATGAGATCCTGGACCTCGTCAGGCAGCTCACTCTTCACGGTTGGCTTCTCTTCGTCGCTCTTTTTCGCTGTGCCCTGATCTTCATCGTTTTCTTCATCAGAGTCCTCTTCGTAGTTGCGCTCGATGAAAGTGTATTTGCCCTTCTTTGGGGGGTCCAGTCTGTTATCCCAGGATAGACCCGATTTGTCTTTGAATTTCTTTTGGAAATGAATCTGTGCCTCAGAAAGATCACCACCTCCCAGAAGACTATGTTGGCCAGACTCGCCCACTCGGCCCCATCGGGTCCAGGCTTTGAAGTTAGTTCCAGACCTGTCAACCAACAGTTGGATGCGGTAGAATTTGTTGGCGTTATTGGCAGAAACAGTCTGGTTGAGAGTGGCATCCCAAATCAGCCCTGCTGGGTCAATGTACACTGAAAAGCCTATCACCAAAAGCGTTAGCGCTCTGTGGGCGTGGGGTACATATATACAGCGGCATAATAGCTACCTGAGAGATAACAGCCCTCGTCAACTGGAACATTCAAAGTCTTAGATCCCAGTTTCTGTGCATCTTTGGGCTTTTTATTCGAACTGTCCTCACTGACATCCAGCACTTCTTCGAGCGAACGTTTCTTTTTCTCTTTTTGTCAGTTTCTTCGTCGTCCTTTTTATCATCTGCCTTTGCATCCTTCTTGCTGAGCAAGTAAGGCTTCTCAGGGATTGGTTTCTTTGCGTCTATAGACTCCACCAGCCAATCGATGGAGACAATATTGCAATTGTAGACATTGCAAGCTTGTCTGTCTGTGTAAATTATAATCAGCCGAGATACCAAGGATAATGGTCGAGAAACATCCGTGCGATTGGAGCAGAATGGACAGTAAATCAAGAACATAAGGGAGTCTGACGAGGCACTTACATTTGGAATTGTTGTTATCCACCTCTCTCTGGCTGGTCACCAGATGTGTGCAGTCACCTGTCACGGTAGTGCTGAATTTTGCACCCTGACCTTCCACGAGCTTCTTCACATCCGCTGTAACCCAAAATAGCATCGGTTAGCTCGATGCTCTCAACGCTCTGCGTCAAAAGGAAACCTGCCTTGCTTATAGCCAGAAAAGCCCCCAGCAACAACGACAACAACGTCTTGGAATAAATTCTTCTTCGGCGGCATGGTTCCAATTAAGTCTAGGAATGGATAATACGAGATGAGGGTAGAATCCGAGGTGAAAGAAACAAATGATGTAATAGAGCGATAATGAGTCCGTTGCTTGATGGTGTAAAAGTATGGTAATGGGATGGAGAAAGAAAACTGCGGTCTGATGTGATAGGGAATGGCTGATTTAAAGAAGAACAATGAAAGAAATGCAAGGGGAAGGGAAGTTAACTTGATTGAGAGATGACTTTGGCAGAGTGAAGAAGCGATACTTATCCAATCTCTAGGGGTCCTGCGACGGCCTGGTAGCCTTAGCCAACAGGCCACTAATGGCGGCTGCTGCCTTGTGGCCGACGGATCTGAAGTTTTATTGGCAGCGGCAACCCCAGGTCTCAGGCACCAGCCCCACAGCATTTCCGACTGCCTGGAACTTTTCCCAAATCGATCGTGGCTCTTATCGAGATTGATGAGGACCTACTCCAGAGTCCAATGGGGGTCAGAAAGTATTTGACCCCCAGTACTTCCTCGGGTTCACCGCTTCAGACTCTTTGTTAGTAACTCTTTGTTAGTAAAACTACAATGGCCTGTTTTGTATGTGGTTACATCAGGCGGTCAAAGGCCCTTGATATAGGGGTCAAATACTTTCATCGTACCCCTTTGTGCCTCAAACACGCGGCACGACAGATTAATATATCGCATATCTTTGTTCGACTCATATCCTTGTCCTCGGTTCCTATAATGTTCGCGGCGAGTAACTCGCAACATGAAGAGAGCGGAAATATATATTATTCACAGCACACCGGCGGAACAACACTATAAAACACCTACAATTTCCAGTACAGTATAAGGGCCTAGTTAGTAATTCCATATTTCTTCAATTGGTATACAACTCTGAGTCAAACCCACTTAAACTGCACTACAACCTTTGTTCACTGCTAGGACATATAGTATCTACTTGGTTTTCGTTTGAGCTCAACAAAACAACTTAGCAAACACAGAGTTCATCGTATGTCTAGAATATGCAGGGTATAATTAAGCTTCATGGAAGTAGTCTAGAGTTCTTATTATATTCAGAAGGAATGAAGGGATGAGACCACGAATTGCTGACGTCAATCTTCCAGATATTCAAATTGCATCCTCCAAGCCCAAACCGAGGCCAACAGACCATCAGTCGGAAAAGCGGTGCGGGGGGATAAGGGGATCGGAAGTGCGATCCCCAGGACTTCCGATCGACAAACATGTCAAACAAACCAAACTTCAGCACTATGTCAAATGTCCTTAGTTGATTGGCCAACGAACCGCAGCCTGAATTGTGGATGGGGGATCAATAGCAGTGGAGCCAATCAATTCCACCCACGACTTGGAGACATCCTGTGCAGTGTTTGCTTTTACTTCTACACAGTTTGTTAAGGATTAATAGTATGATAGGTAAAATTTTAATAAAAGAGAGAGAATGGTCAAATGGCTTGAAATGAATTTTTATCGTGTACTGGTAGACTTCTCAAGTATCCTTTGATTTGTGTCTCTACCCTCACTAGTGCAATCAGCCAAGAACAATCAATCAATCAATCATGCTCTTCTACGATACAGCTCTCCTACCTTATAGCCCGATTGAAACCTTGTTAAATCCTTTATCCTCCATATGGCGCGGGCTGTTTCCTACAAGTTTATCACAGCGCGAATGTGATCAGATAACCGGAACTGAATCAGCTACAGTAACATCAAAAGAGGAATGACCTGGCTTGAACAATGGCATCTTAACATGGAGCCAATATGTACATCTGTGAGTCATGCTACCAATACCGCAGTTAACTTACCACTGGGACTAATTATATGTTTTTTATAGACTCCTTTTTTCTGGAACTAGATTCATGGCAATCTGTATTTTGTATATGAAGTAGTAGTCAGCAATCACTCCCAACTAAGGTCTGAAGAAGAGAGAACTATGCCAAATCCGAAGTTTCTAACTGTTGCTTCAAGCTTTGACGTTGCCTGTGCTTTCAATATCTCTTGAAATCATCTACCCATGGCTGTACATATATCACTGAACAAAAACTAGATGCGGAATGATAGATACACTTCCAAACGATCGCTCCAACAAGACACCGAAAATGCAGGGTTAGTAAAAACAATTCTAAACTCTATATCGAGGCCTTGGTCACGCTAGACAGCCTTTTCTCTAAACACTTCGTGGCATCTGCACACATTTGAGGAATGTCCACATTGCCAATAACGCCGTTCCGATAATTGATCGCTTCCTCAATCTTCTTGAAATCGCTCCCGACCCCCTCGGCTCGCCATTCGTAGCTATCTCCGATAAACCGGCTGCTTTGGACAAGCCACTGGGACCGTTCCCGTCGACTGATATCATATGCAGCAAGAACAGCTTCTAGATCCTTGTGCGTTTGGACCCGTTCATCCGCTAGCAACGTAGCAAGGACGGCAGTGTCTTCGAGACAGAAGCCAGCTCCGGCACCGTGGTGGGGTGATGTAGCGTGCGCAGCATCGCCGGATATTGCGACCCGGCCTTTGTAGAATGTAGGAACCGGGTTTTCTCCAAGGTCAAAGATAGCCCACTACAGGTTATTATTAGTATATACACTACTACTTTCTAGATGCAGTACAAACTTACCACGCTGAGCTCTGCGTCTGTCAACTCCAGCAGATTAATGACATTCGGCCCATATCCGGCAAAGTCACGGAGCGCCTCCTCTCGTGTGCCTTGTCGCGTTAATCGGGGATAATCGGCCCATTCCTCCGGAGTCGTATGGAACGCAACAATGTTGAGGGTTTTCCCTTGGTTTACAGGGAAGGTCAGCATATGACCACCGGGGCCCATCTGTCACGTCATCAGTATAACAGCGCATCTGGAGAAAGCATGTTCATTGAGGATGTCTTACATGCATACAGGCATTGGAAGCTAATTCCTCTCCAATCGCCTCGATCGCCTTTTCCATCGGGACCAGCCCGCGATAAGCGTATTTGTGGGTATACGACGGCTTAGCAGAGGGATGATCTGCTCCCAGAATCACCTGTCGCACCTGAGACTTGATACCGTCACAGCCAATAACCAGATCGGCTTCATCTTGCGTCCCATCAGCAAATTTCAAGAGAATTTTCCCGTCGGTCTCCCGCTCGACAATGCTTTCAAGTCGTTTATTGAACCGCGCGATATCACTAGGGATCAGTTTAATTAATTCGTCGAGGAAGTGAGCGCGGTGAACACCAGTTTGGCCGAGGCTGTTGGAGATAGTGAATGCAATATCTTGGCGACTGGCATTTTTCGCTGTCGTCGAGGTACCCTTGTTATATCCGTCTAGATAATCGAACCACACTTTTTGTTTCGAAGGCCACAGATTCTTTGTGCAGACCTTTTCGAATGCTTCGTGAATACCCGAATGGCAAGCTTTCATTGCCTCAACTGCATTTGGGCCAAACGAGACACCTGCGCCGACTTCACCGAAGGCTTCGGCCTGCTCGTAGATGGTGACTGGGATATTTCGGTGGTAGAGGGCGATGGCGAGGGATAGGCCGGCAATGCCGCCGCCGACGACAGCGACATGAAAGGTCTTTTGTTGTGAGCACATTGGGAAGAGGGTTGTGTCTGAAATCTAATGATTCCAGCAGTAACTGGGGGTATATTGGAAGAACTCAAGCACTTGAAGCGTTGTTGAGCAAAAATTCGCAAAGGTGCGAGGCTTCCCTTTTCTATCATGCATCACGCACACCGCATCCCATATTGACCAAGCATATCGGAACGTGAGAACGACATCGGCTCTGGGGTAAGGTCCTTCGGATGGTATCGAGACCCGCCTATTCGACCCCCGTGGGGCATCGGCTTGGCAATGGGGGTGCATATTATAGGCTTTGAATCTGCCGAGCTATGTGCCGGCGAATCTTAGTTGTTTGAGATATTCTTGATAGCACGGCTATCTCGGAGCTAGTTGGCGCCTCGATATTGAGTCGTGGACATCTCTGATCGGCTGATTATGTACATGATCTTCCGCGATGTGGTATATCACCGGATGGTCTTGTGTGCCAAGGTGTGTATACTGATGTAAAAGGCTGCCAACTCTTCGTTTTGATTATACAGCCGATATACAAAATTGAACTTCCGACTCCTCTCTCCGGTTATTTTACCTCCCTCCTAGAACGTAAGTAGTGCACAGCCTTGTGCTCCTGGCTGAACAGCACTGGCAATCAAGGTGACGTGGAGTGTGGAGATCTGGAATGGACCCCACCCGACCTTGTAGGTTATAGCAAGAAACGGCCTCCGAAGATACAGTATCAGATAAAACTGGCCCATTGACAGAAGCTCAAGTATAGCTTGCTCTTGTTTCTGCCAATGAGTGAAGAACATCCAGGTATCCGCCGAGGACTACTATGGAAGTTCAGAGATTAAGGGTGTATTTACGCAGCAAGGTTGAGCCTTAAGTGAAACTAGCTTTAAGGGTACCGGTGGACATGATGAAATTCATGCCGTGATGTCCCTTTTAGTGAAGTTGACGCAGATTACGGACTTCGAGCCATTCATAGAGTGATTCGCGAACGACCCCTCGCGTCGTTAGACAATGCAACGCAACCTGACTTCACATAGACCGGAGTTGGCCTTGATCTACCTCGAGTCTCCGGGTATGTGACTTGGTCGCATATTCAGGTGACTTTGTTCGTGCAACTTCCAGTGACGAGCAGAATAAAATGAGGTCATTCGCGCAATGCCCAGACATGGGGGAAGTCATTCGTAGGTAGATTAACTTTGCGGGGAAGCTGCCCTCGAGAAATAAAAGGAGTTGTTCGGAAGAGGACGACGGCGAAATCCACCATTACCTGAATCGCTCCCGAGTCTTCACGATGTTGATTGAATACTGATGCCTAAACGGTAAGACTTGAATCCTGAAT